GTTCTGCGGGCTGGGGGAGTCTGTCCATGCCATTACGGGGGTGCAGGAGATGGGAAAACCCCAACGTGCCGCCACACCCTTCCTCCTCCTCTTGATTCGGGGGCCAGCCCACCTGAACCTCTCTCTGAGTTTTTTAGGAAGGGGCCAACACGCTGCAGACTCATCGCCTACTTTGACTTCTCACAGGCTCGACCTGCACAAAACGTCCGTCTGGCTGGGAGCTTTTTGAGAAAAATTGTTACTTCTTCTCCATGGTGACTAAAAGCTGGGGGCAGGTGAAGCAGGCCTGCATCGACCAAGGGTCTCGCCTGGTGATCGTCAACACCAATCTGGAACAGGTGAGCCTCCATTCCTCCTGTGGGGCATGTGGGAGAAAAATCAAATAACTCCAATGTTGTCTAAATTGGACAAAATTAGACTGTGCAGGAAATCAAAACTCTCTAAAAGAAAACTGCTGTAAGGGTTAAAAGTTTTCCAGGCCCCTCTCTCTCTGTAACAGAGAAATTATCTTAACTCTAATCAAGACCCTGCCAATGCCTCCTATCTCAAGTTCATGGAGACTCCTAGTCTGTCACAAATTGTCATGGCCTGGTGATCGTCAACACCAATCTGGAACAGGTGAGCCTCCATTCCTCCTGTGGGGCATGTGGGAGAAAAATCAAATAACTCCAATGTTGTCTAAATTGGACAAAATTAGACTGTGCAGGAAATCAAAACTCTCTAAAAGAAAACTGCTGTAAGGGTTAAAAGTTTTCCAGGCCCCTCTCTCTCTGTAACAGAGAAATTATCTTAACTCTAATCAAGACCCTGCCAATGCCTCCTATCTCAAGTTCATGGAGACTCCTAGTCTGTCACAAATTGTCATGTAAACTCTTATCTTTGTCACAGTTTGCCTTGTAGACTCCTCACTCAGGTTCTCATGTGCCTTTGTACTGTAAAACTGACTTCTGGCACTTCTGGTATGAACAGAAATGTCTCAGAGTACTTCTGTCTGCTGAGACTTTGCTATGTTAAAGAAAACAATCAACAACTAAACTGTCTGAACATACTGTATAAAGGATCCCTGAAACTGTCTCTCAGGGCTGCTGCTGCTCTCACTCTGGTAGCTGTCAGCCTGCATGCATGCATAATAAAGTTTTCCTTCTAGATTTCTCTCCTGTCTCACTGCTTTGACCTCCAGCCTCGGCCCCTTCTGGGGACTCTTTACTCCAGTGGAGCAAGATTTCCCCAACAATTTGGTGTCAGAAGTGGAATAGCTTGGAACGCCAGTTGGAAAGTCTGACGACGGGGAACAGGAACGGACTACAGCGCGCATCTGGAGGGTAAGGGATCCATTTAAAATCCCCCAGTCCGCCTCCCTGTTTTCGTCACCAGTAGGACTGGCTGGCGGTAAGAGTCATCTTTTGCTCCTACATTTGCTTTAAGAGGCTTGAGTTAGATTTAAAATGAAAACACTGAGTACAGCCAAATAGGGGTTGGATTTTGTTGCTGACTGATTGTTGGCGAGTCCAAGTGCATGGTTTTGAGTGAGTCTAGTCCGGAACGGGACCACAGCCGCACCGGTGCTGTCTGTGTCACTGAACAGCTACCGAAAGCAAGGGCGGTTTCCCCCGGCACATAAGAAGTGTGAGTGAAGTTCGTCACCAGTAGGACTGGCTGGCGGTAAGAGTCATCTTTTGCTCCTACATTTGCTTTAAGAGGCTTGAGTTAGATTTAAAATGAAAACACTGAGTACAGCCAAATAGGGGTTGGATTTTGTTGCTGACTGATTGTTGGCGAGTCCAAGTGCATGGTTTTGAGTGAGTCTAGTCCGGAACGGGACCACAGCCGCACCGGTGCTGTCTGTGTCACTGAACAGCTACCGAAAGCAAGGGCGGTTTCCCCCGGCACATAAGAAGTGTGAGTGAAGCTGACAGTTTGTGTGGACTCCCACACTATCCTTGGAGAGGGTAGTACTGCTGGGCTCCTGTACTGTCCTTGGACAGGACAGTGCTAACATGGGTGGGATTGTTCCCTCAAGTATGTCTCCCACTGAGGGGAAAGGTTTCTCACAGCCTGGGACTCCCTTATCTCAAATGATAAGAATTTACAGTCAGCTAGGTAATTGCTGGCAGGTTTGAAACTAAAGAGACTTAAGAAATTAATGAGCATTTGGAATGGCTATACTCAGGGGAATTCCCAGAAAAAATGGCCACTAGAGGGTAGCTTTGACTTAGAAAAGCTTCCTTATCTATCGAGGAAACACATCCTAACCAGATGGAATATTGGTGCCTCTGGGAGGATGTGGCAGTTAAAAAAAAAAAAAAAAAAAAAGAATCAGAGCTTAATGGCTAGCCAAAAAGATTCTATTAAAAAGCTGCAGCAACAATTGGCTACTCTAAAGAAACAGCTTGATTCCCCAGATGTGCCATCTGCACTCCCACCCCGCTTTGGACCCTTGTCAGCTGAACATTCTTTCCTGTTATCTGCCTGTTCTCCTGTAAATCTTATGGGACGTGACTTATTGTGTAAATTGGGTGCAAACCTTCTCTGTAGAGAGGAAGGGATATTTGTTGACCTTCCCCCCCATCAGGCTCCAAATTTGATAGTTCGAACTAGCGGGGATAATGTAGTCATCCGCAGTTGCAAATGAAGCCCGGGATTTGAATTTCCCGGGCTTCATTAAATGCCGGCTAGTTCTGACCCCATGCCGCACGGCTACACGCGGCACAGACTAGCTAGTTCGGATTAGGCTTCTAATCCAAACTATCTGTACGCCTCGCTAGTTCGGATTAGAAGCCTAATCCAAACTAGCTAGTCCGTGCCGCATGTAGCCACGCGGCACGGGGTCTGAACTAGCCGGCATTTAAAAATGGCATCGGCCGGCTTCATGCAAATGAAGCCTGGGAAATTCAAATCCCGGGCTTCATTTGCAACTGCGGATGACTACATTACCCCCACTAGTTCGAACTAGCGGGGTAGTGTAGACATACCCAGAGGAATCTGATGAAGCCTCTGGACATACTCCCCTCCTGGAACTCTCAGATGTCCCAGAGACATTGTGGGCAGCCCACGCGAATGAAGTGGGGTTGCTAGCCTCTGCAACACCAGTGCAAATAACATATAAACACAACAAGCTTTTCCCAAGGGTACCCCAGTATCCATTGTCTAGGGAGGCACAAGAGGGCATTAAGCCTAGAATCTCTTCCCTCCTTGTACAAGGGATACTTGTTTATACAACTTCACCATGTAATACACCTATACTACCTGTGAAAAAGGAGGAAAAATTTGACAGCCAGGGTAAGGAAATCTATAGATTTGTACAAGACCTAAAAGCCATCAACAAGTTTGTAATCCCTAGATTTCCAGTAGTACCTAACCCTGCTACTATTCTTTCCTCTATTCCACCCACTTCTAAATGGTTCTCTGTAATAGATTTATGTTCTGCCTTCTTTTCTATTCCAGCGCAATTCTATTCCAGAATTCCCAATTTCTCTTTGCCTTTTCATTTCTGGGTCATCAATTAACCTGGACACGTTTTCCCCAAGGTTATTGTGAAAGCCCTTCTCTGTTTTCTCAGTTTTTAAAAGCTGCCCTTGATTCTTTCCCTCTTCCCTGCAGCTCTGTGTTGGTTCAGTATGTTGATAATGTGTTAATTGCTAACAAAACTGAGAAAGGGTGTAAAACTGATACCTTGCAAGTGTTAAAATGTCTTGCTGGAAGGGGTCACAAGCTTATCCCTTTAACTCGAGCTTGCCTTTTAGCTTCCGGACAGTCTGCTGCCATTTATACTGACTCAAAGTGTGCTTTCTCTGTCTGTCACGCCACAGGACAAATTTGGAAATAACGAGGTTTCCTTACCTCTTCTGGCTCCGCTATCTCTTGGTCCCCTTATCTCTCAACTTCTTGATGCTATTCAGCTACCCACATCCCTCTCTATTACCCATTGCCTGGCCCACACAGGTGCAACCGATCCTGTCTCTCTGGGTAATGGGAGTGCAGATGCAGCGGCCAGACATGCAGCAGCACATGGACCTCCGGCTCCCTTTCAGATTCTGGTCTCTCTTTCTCTCCTTGTTTCTTTGCAGGACCTGATAGAACTACAGCAGGCTGCTCAACGTGCAGAGAGAAACCTTTGGGAGAAAGCAGGCTGCTTCTTATCCCCAGCTGGGATAATGGTTGCTCCTGATGGCCACCCAGTCACCCCAAGATCTCTCACACGGCAGCTTGCTCAGGTGTCTCATCAGATGACACACATGAGCAAAAGGGGGGTGGCCTCACAGATCCCAAAACAATGGTACGCCCCCGGCGTGCACCTAGAAGCTACAAGGGTATCTAATTCATGTGTGATTTGTAAGCAGTTTAATGTTGCAGGAGGAGACTCACAGGCTAATGGCCACACGGAAAGAAGAAACCTAGACATAAAACGGCGGTTAGGAAAGCTTGCACCTGCAGATGAAGGAAGCCCTCCCAGTACCTACTGATGTACCGTGCCACAACAACCCACCAGGCGACTACGTGTTTGTGAAGGAACCTCGCAGAAAGAACTGCCTGGCAGCCCGGTGGGAAGGACTGTTCCAAGTGCTGCTCGTCACCCACACAGCAGTAAAGGCGAAGGAGCCTTTCTGAGATTTAAAAAGTGATCTTGGGTGTAAAAAGGTTGGAGGCCACTGGTATAAAGGATCCCTGAAACTGTCTCTCAGGGCTGCTGCTGCTCTCACTCTGGTAGCTGTCAGCCTTCATGCATGCATAATAAAGTTGTCCTTCTAGATTTCTCTCCTTCCTCACTGCTTTGACCTCCAGCCTCGGCCCCTTCTGGGGACTCTGTACCCCAGGGGAGCGAGATTTCCCCAACAGGCATTAAGCACAAGGGGCCAGTCTGCAATGCTACACTAGGGCGAATTCGCATCACCCTTACCCGGAGCAGCCCCTACCCATGGCCCAAAGAGGGCGGCTGCAGTCCCAGAAGGATTGCAGCCCCCACCATGGAGGGAGAGCAGGGAACAGGAGCCGGAGCTCCTGCTGCTGGCCTCTCTGTGTGTGGCGGAAGAGCAGCAGCAGCAGCCCCGCACGTGATGGGAGGCGGGAGTGGGACCCTGCACAATAGATTAACCGGTTCTTGGTAATCCGTGTGTGTGCTGGGGGGAGCTTAACGGGACCTGGATACTGAGAGTCATTTGAAAAATGCTGAGTGAGCTTTGTGACCAGAAAGCTCAGGGTCGGGGTGGATCCTGCCAAATTCACAGCCATGCAAAATGTGTCCCACACTGAAATCTGGCCTTTGTGTGCTTTCACCCCATGCTATATGGACTTCACGGGGGAGACCAGCATCCCCGACACCCTCTGCCCTTGTCTGATAGTTATGCCCCTCATTCCAAGTCCTGGCCTAATCTCCGCCCCCCACTCCCCACCCTGTGCAGTCATCTGCAACCCCCACCCCACCCACATCCTCAGATCTATCTGCCCCCCTGCAAAATTGCCCTGGGGCTCCTGCCCGGCCGGTGTCCCAGCTTGGCAGATGGTACAGCCCCCTCTGTGCCCCCTCTGGGCAGGTGCCTATGCATGGTATGACCTCCCGCAACCCATCCTGTAGGCTTTAATCCCGCCCACACGTCAGTCCCTCTCCGCTGTGCTGTCTCTAATTTGCTGACTGGCATGGAATTACCCCGTTTTGGCTGTTCCCCTTTCCTGGCCCCTGCCTGTTTGTCTGTCCATCCTTAGCCTGTGAGTGCCTCAGGGCAAGGAAAGGCCTTTCTTAGGTCTCTGGAACTCAGCCGACACATTGCAGGCACTACCTCAGACAAGTCCCCAAACTTTACACAGCACAGAATTAACCAGGGGAACTCACTGCCACTGGATGTCAGTGGGGAAGGTCCGGATTCTGATTTCCAAACAGGGCCCTTTGCACTGATATAAAGAGGCCTTGTTATGTCATCTGTATTTTTGTGCACAAAACACACTAGTTACAAGAGATGGGATACAAAAAAATAAACATGAAAACTCTCTCTGCTGCTGCTGCTTCAGGTCACAAGCCAATTGCTATTGGCCTGCGGTCAGACATGCCCCCATATTCCAGAATCTGTCGATCTGGTTTCAGTGCATGGAAAATCCTACAGGGATGTGGCACCTTGCAAAGACTGCTTCCACTCTGCCAGATGTTTTGGTAACAGGCCTTTTTCATGTCCTTTACCTCCCAAGAGCGGGTCTGGAGCCGGGGGGGGCAGGGCTGGCGGCACCCAGAGGAGGGCTCCTTCCAGGTGCTGGCTCCCCGTTCCAGGCACCCCCACTGGCTGAAGGAGGCTGCTGCTGGCGAGGGTGGTGCAGAAGTAAGGGTGTGGCCCGTGATGTGTGTTTCCTGGCTGTGAATTGGATCGTGCCAGCTCATGGCTGCCCTTGGAATTGTGCAATCGCTGAGCGTGCAGATTTTGTGCTGATGTGAGCGAGGGCAAGTGACATTATCAGTCACGTGCTGCGCTGCTATCTCCATGGAGTCACCCCGAGGCAACAGCTGCTTGTGGACTCTGCTGTTCTTGCACATCCTTCCTCCCAAAGACTTCTCACAGAATTACAAGTGGCAGCGGGGGGAGGGGGAGAGGAAGAGATCTGGCTACTTGTCCCTGCACGGCTATCCTGCCCATTCCACATGCCCCTCACCAGAGCGCCTTGGCATTGGTTCCAGCAGGGGGCAGGCTCTGGCTCTGCTGAGGGAGTAGACTCAGACCCTAAACACCTGCCCAGCTGGTGTGGACAAGCCCTTGGCCAGGTTAGTGCCGGGGTAGCCAAATCCGAAGCCCTGTAGTTCTTGGCATATGTCCCCACGAACCCTGAGAAGTCCACAGGAGATTATCCCAGAAGGGCTGAGGATTGTTTCAGATGAGGCAGAACCAGGCAGAGAGTTGGAACAGTGTTGTGATAACCACGCGACTGTGTGTGACCAGCTTGCTGGGAAGTCAGGGTACGTCTACACTACAGAGTTAGTTCGAACTAACTTTGTAGTGTAGACATACCCTCAGTGTGGTTAGGACAAGAAGGCTGTGTCTAGACTACATGGCTCCATCGACGGAGCCATGTAGATTAGGGTTGTAGGCAAAGAGAAATGAAGCTGCGATTTAAATAATCGCCGCTTCATTTAAATTTACATGGCTGCTGCGCTGAGCCGACAAACTGATCAGCTGTTTGTCGGCTCAGTGTGCTAGTCTGGACGCTCCCCTGCCGACATCAAAGCCCTTTGTCGGAAGCCCCGTTATTCCTCGTGGGATGAGGTTTACCGGGGCTGCCGACAAAGGGCTTTGATGTCGGCAGGGGGGGGGCCAGAGCAGCGACAAAGGGCTTTGATGTCGGCAGGGGAGCGTCCAGACTAGCACGCTGAGCCGACAAACAGCTGATCAGCATGTTGGCTCAGCACGGCAGCCATGTAAATTTAAATGAAGCCGCGATTATTTAAATCGCAGCTTCATTTCCCTTTGCCCAATAAACAAATCTACATGGCTCTGTCGACGGAGCCATGTAGTGTAGACGGACCCAAAATTTATAAGCTTATCATGCCGGTGAGAATGGATCCTGTCTCTGGGAGACACAGACCATCTTGGGGAATGTCTGGTCTGCTTATTGTTGTTATCCTACTGACTGGGGGGAGAGAAAGGATTCCATGGCCTTTGTGAATGGGGAAGTTGCACCCAACCAGCCCTTTGTCTTTGTTAAGCCAGAGACTTCAGGTTTTGAATCCACAGGACAAGGGGGAAGGGCAGAACCTGCTTTGGCAAAGGAAACTTGCAGTTTAAACCTAAAGGGCCAGAACTACAAGGGTATGGAGCCAAAGATATGGTGTGATGACAGAAAGTGTTGTCAATATACACTTGCTATGGAGGTGTTCTTGTTCCTGATGTTAACTTTTGTAACCAATGTGCTATTGTTACCAAGAACTGTAAAAATGTACAATATGTGTGCTGTTTTGGAAAAACCATTGAACCTGTCAAGAAATGTACCAAAATGACAGATTGTATGTTAAAGGACCCTGTGATGTTGATATTTCACAGTTAATGCCTGTAACTGATCTTGGAACTTCTTACAGGACAAAGAAGATTCCAGCCATAATGTACTGTGTGGAAAGGGAAACTGAGGCACACTACCATTATGGTTTCATGGTGAAGTTCCAAGATACTTACACTATGGGGAGTGAGAATACCTACATGAACTCAGGGTGGCTATGTCTACACTGGCATGATTTTCCGGAAATGCTTTTAACAGAAAAAGTTTTCCCTTAAAAGTATTTCCGGAAAAGTGCGTCTAGATTGGCAGGACGATTTTCCGGAAAAGCACTTTTTCCGGAAAAGTGTCCGTGGCCAATCTAGACGCGCTTTTCCACAAAAAAGCCCTGATCGTCATTTTTGCGATTGGGGCTTTTTTGCGGAAAACACTACTGTGCTGTCTACACTGGCCCTTTTCCGGAACAGTTTTCCAGAAAAAGACTTTTGCCCGAATGGGAGCAGCATAGTTTTTCCAGAAAATCACTGATGATTTTACATGAGATCGTCAGTGCTTTTCTGTAAATTCAAGTGGCCAGTGTAGACAGCTGGCAAGTTTTTCCGGAAAAGCAGCTGATTTTCCGGAATAACTTGCCAGTGTAGACAAAGCCTAGGAGAGTGGTGAAGCACTGGAATGGGTTACCTAGGGAAGTAGTGGAGTCTCCATCCTTAGAGGTTTTTAAGTCTCGGCTTGACAAAGCCCTGGCTGGGTTGATTTAGTTGGGATTGGTCCTGCCTTGGGCAGGGGGCTGGACTTGATGACCTTCTGAGGTCTCT